GAAGAAGGGTGACGCGTGGACACTTTTGGCCGTCGAAAAAAAAAAAAAACAACAACAAAAAACGAAAAAAAAAGAGTACATCTTCTTTTCTCCCATTTGTAACGATCGTGTGTGACCGAGTGGCCCTTAAAAAACGAAAAAAAAAAAAGGAAGAAATTGACGCCTGTTGCCTTTACGTTTTTTTTTTTTTTTGTAATAATTGGGGAGTGCTCTTTGGCCTTTTGGGTGCTTATGTTTTCTTTGGAGTTTGCGAGCGGCCGCCCGCTTGGCAGTGCGCCATATTACTCCCTCGTTGTCCGGGAGCCGTACATTGTCGGCAGGGATCGCAGCTCTGACATTGTGTTAGACCACGGCGACATTGTGACGAGGCATGCCTCGTTGACCGTGATGCATGAGAGCCAGGCGCTGGAGCAGCAGCAGAAGCGGGTACTTCTTCACGGGGCAAATGGGAACGACGATGGCGTGAAGGAATTGGAGGAAGACAGCGGCGAAGTCGCAGGCAGTTTTCTCAACGACACGCGGGAGGAGACGAGTGACGTGGTGTCGCTGGGCCTCCCCGAGATGAATGGGCTGCGCGACGGGAGGGGCGAGCACGGTTCCGAGGGCATCGACGAGGAGGGGGAGAAGAAGAGGGAGAAAGGGACGGAGTTGTCGCCGGGCCAATTGCAGGGGAACGACCCACTTGTGCTGCGCTTAGTGAACCTCCGCGAGGGCGGTCACGTCCTGGCGAATGAGACGGAGGTGGTGGATCACCCGGTGTACCTCGCAGATGGCGCGCAGCTGCAGTTTGGTGCCCACATTCGTCTTCGTATCCGCTTTCGCCCACTTCTTGTAAGCATCGCTCGCAACGCCTTCAGTTCCGACCACGTGCGGGAGTTGGAGTTTATGTACTACCGCCTGGGTGCCACGTTAACAGGGCAGGGGGGACCCACGCCGCATCTTGACATGCCGCAGCCAATCAGCAAGCTACACTGTGTAGAGGCTATCAATGACGACCCGTTGTGCCTTATGGCGCTCGCAAGCGGCTACTCCATCGTGCAGCCCACATATGTGTTTGAGTGGTTTGCCGCCCTCGCGCAGAGTGCCTCATCGCCGCTCACCGTTCTGCCACCACCAGTCCGCTTTGAGGTGCCGGTCCAATACCGTGGAGCAACGGCTGCACACGCGGCTTTTTATCTCCGGCCGGAATCAGACGTCTGCCCTTTCCCCTTGTACCCTATTCCAACCACAGCCACACGAAAGCGCTCACGTGACACGTTGTTCAAAGGGAAGAGCTTCTGTTTTTTAACGAACGCGGTGGAACACCGTTACAAGGAGCCTGTGCTGACCTGCGGTGGAGAGGTGCTTCATTTGGAGGATATTTTGGTCATCAAGAAGGAGACGGCCGCGGCCACAGCGAAGAAGACAACGGCAACCACGACGGCAGAAGGTAGCGATGCGGTTAATGAAGATCATGGGGTCCATTTTGCGGAGGACGACAACCCCACCACGAAAGAAAAGGAAGAGGAGGAGAGTACGACAGCAATGCAGTACGTTGTGGTGGATGCGGAGACGGAGGCGGCGATGCGGCGTCAAGAGCACCGCTCTTTAGATGGTCTCCGGAGGCTCCTAGACGACACCCATCGCACTGGCATTGCGGTTCCTATTATCGGCGAGCGAAGCCTCTTTCACGCGCTTCTTACCAATCGCTTTACCGCTTTTGAGGTTTCTTTGCCCGCCGCCACCGATGCCATTCAACCCGGCGATCAACACCCACTTAACGGGGAAAACGTAGCAGCGGGTATTGAATACGCCGGCGGCGAGAGTGAGGTCCCTACAAGCGCGACGGGGTTGGAAGCGCGTGCCATCAACTTCTTGACAGACCCCACGAAGGGGGTGTTGCAACCGCGTCAACGGGGGGAGCTTCATATCCGCACGCTCTCGCCAAGTCTGAACCGCAGAAGGGAACACTTAACGGATGACTTGACGAAATCCCAACGCCGTGGGCGAGGTCGACAATCGGCACCACGAGCGTTGCCGGCAGTCGATCTTTTTGAGGCGCTTCGTCACAGGGTGCGTGCGTTTGTTCTTAAAGAGGGGTCAAAGCTCCAGGAGAACCTGGCGGGTTCGTGGCGGAACCTTTTTGTTGACCCAGAGGTGCTGGAGCACGCGCACGCGTGTCAGAGCCATTCGGTGCGCTACCTGGAGAAAATGGAATATCTCCTGCCGGAGATTGGCGAGCACCCGCGCATCGCCAGTGATATGCGCCGCTGCCAGCGGAACTGTCACGAGATGTTGCGCACTGCGCAGGAGATTGTGGAGCTCGCTAAGTGCGCCTCACAACGTTGCCAACACCCTAGCCGCCCACGTCGCATGTCTGCAAACGGCGCAATATTCTATCCATCTGCAGGCCTCATGGGCGGCTGGATGCCATTACGTTCTTCGCCGTCGGATGCGGAGAAGCTGGACACAGAACCTCGTGAGCCATCGCCTCTGTTGCGAGGCGGGAGGCAATGGATGTTTCAGCAAGGTGCCAATTCATTGCCCGTCACGCCCCGGTCGAGCCGTGGAAAGGGCGCTAAAAAATACCGGGCCCTGCTGGCAACCGACACCCGAGCTGCCCCCGCCAACGACCGGGCCAGTAACCAGACGGATCTTTCCGCCCCGGCGCTTGACGCAGCGACACCCTGCGGCACGGAGAGTACACCGCGGCCAGCACCAGTGTTCTACCTGTCACGACGTCTCTCGAATATGGTTTCGCCCTCCACCATCCGTGCGCAAAATGCCGCGTGGCGCAGTCCGCGACCCACGTCTAGGCCGTCACAACGGGAGCCGCGGCAGCCAACAGAGACACGGGAGGAATTTCATGGCGTGTCACGGGACACAGCAACCGCACAGGCTTCATTGTCGAAGCGCACCCTTGTGACGCACCCAACGCCTCGCGGAGTTAAAAGCAGCAAAAAAACCGATGTACAAATGTCACCTTCTGCGCGTGTGCCTCTTTCGCAGGAATACTCACTGCCGGTGCGACGAGGTTCACATGGCAGTAGCCCTCTTCGGTGGCAGCACCTGCAGCGCACACCCCGGCCACGTCATCCACGCAGCGCACGTTGCGGATCGCCTGTGCTTGTCACGAAGTCTACTGGCCGCCGTCAGCATGTGCGGATGGAGAACTCATGAGGTTTATGTGTTGGTGTTTTTACGCTTTTTATGAAGCGTTGCGTGGGGTGTGGGGGTGGCGGGGGGAGAGAGGAATACCGGGTTTTTAGTCATGTGTGTATTGCACGTACGGGAGGGGAAGGGGATGATGACCACAAACGATGGGGAGGGCAGACACAAATTGAAGGGCAGCAACACCCTGTGAAGGAGCAGGCACTCAAAAGGGCACACACACACACACGCACAGTAGGAGAAAACGGAAGAAAGAGAAGGGGATGCAACTGTCATTTGGTTATGGCCGGCTTCAATTATGGCAAGCGATGCGTTTCTTTTTTTTTCCTTCTTCTTCTTCTTCCTCTCTTTGATGGGTGGTAGCGCCTTGCCATGCAGACACGCCCCTCCCCTATTCCCACCGTTTTCCTTTCTCCCTCTTCGGGCTTCCATACATGATGTATATATGCATATATAATAGGCATGTACCTACGCAATGAATCCCAAAAACAAACAAAAACAAAAAATCATGCAGAGGTGAAAGAAAGAAGTCTCTCTTTTTTTTTTTTTTTGTGTGTGTAAAGAAGAGCATGAAACCAAACAAACAAAAAAGCAAATGAATAAAAACAAGCTGTCAATTCTGCAACTTCCTCTTTTTTCTTTTTTTTTTTAAAATTTCCCCAAATCCGCCTTTTTCTTCTTTACTTCTTTCCTGCGATTTGTGAGAGCGCGATTTGCAACAACGTGTGTTTTTATTGGACTCACAAGGCGGGGAAGAGGGGCATCTGTTTTTTTTTTTCTTTTTGAAATGTGCACGGAAGCCTACTTTTTACTCATCCATGACCTGAGACGCATGCGTACGTGTAGACAACGGCACGACGAGGAGGAGATGGGGCCTTAAAAAAAAAAAAAAAAAAAAAAAAAAAAGAAGGGGTGGAAACGACATGGAGGCGAATATGTTAGACATCATATACGCCGATTTATGTATGCGCGTGCAATCAATGAATATATTTTTTTGTTTATTTTATTTTTATTTAAACGAAAAAAAAAAAAAAAAGAAAGAAAAAAAAGAAAAAGAAGTAAATATTGAAGGCACATATATATTTTATTATTATTATTATTGTTGTTGTTGTTTGCTTACAGGCAAAACAAAAAGAAAGAAAAACAAAACAAAACAAACAAAAAGGAGGGGTAAAAAAAAAAAAAAGAAACAAAAACACACACAACAACAACAAAATGGATGCATTGAGACGTGAGTTAAAACCGTCGCGAGCACAAAATTGTTGCATCCGGCCTTTACACGATGCATGTACTCTCGTATTTACCTCTCCACTTATCTCTCCCTCTCTTTCTCTCTTTTCCTCTCTTTCTTCCTCTCCCTTTTTTTTTTCTTTTTTCTTAGGGAAATCCCCCCCCCCCCCCCCATTTAAACTTTAGTGGGAAGCTGTGATTGGATGTGATGTTAGCGTTAGTGGGCATATGTGTGTGTGTGCGTTAGTCTGTCGGAAGGGGGGACGGAGAGGAAGAGGCGTCGGTTATTTTGAGAAATTAGACAATTTTTTTTTTTCTTTTTGTTGTTGTTGTTCATTCGTGCCGTTTCTGAACGCCGAAGGGGTGGCGGCGTTGGTGAGGGGTGGGAGGTTTCTGCCTGTTGACCAACACCACTTTTTTTTTTTTTTTTTTCCTGGTTGCTTGCTTGATTTGGTTATATAATACACATATACATATGTGGCTTTTTGGATTTGGCTGGGGTCCCCGGACTTCTTTCCGTGAGCCTCGCGTGGGTTCAACATTTTTGCTTTCGCCGCCTTTTTTTTTTTTTTTTTTTTCTGTTGTTGTCGTTGCTGTATTTACTTCAGTTTTATGGGTTTATGGGGGAAATATTCTCTTCGGTGTGGGCTTCAGAGGGCAATATTGCCCGCCAGTGCGTTGAGCTCGTGCTGGTCTCCGCCATTGGTATACTGCTGTATTATGTCCCGCTGTTCTTTTTTAAGCGACAGCGGAATTCCCGAGCCTTGGTGGTGTTAGAGCCAACTGCCAAGGCTACTGCCGCAGGCGTCGTCCTCTACTCGTGTTTTGGAATGGCTCAGCCACATTTTTCAGACATTCTTCAAACTTATCGGACAGGAACTCCCTCACCCGATGCACTTTATTTTCTTGCTGGTGTGGCTCTCGGCTACAGGCTCGTTTTACAAGTAAGCCACTACTTTGACGACACCGGCTTGAGTGCGACGACCACGGCGATGGTTGCACACAGCGTGGCAGAGGGAGCGGGATTGGGCCTTATTGTGAGCAGCCCGGTGTTCCCTGTCATCTTTCGTCACCAGTTGATTCATGGTGTCTCGGAAGGCATGCTGATGGCGATGGTGGCGCTGGAACGTTACGGGCTAAAACAGACGATGCGCTCAGCGTTACTAGGCCGTTTGGCGCAGGCGATAGCGTATTATGCAACTGCCATTTGCATGCCGTCGGTTTCCGGGGATGCGATGCAAGTGGCAGAGGGCGTGGCGCTTGGGTCAATGGCCGCAATGGTCTGGGGAGAGCTTGCGCAACCTGCCTACAACGCCCTGGGGAGCATAAGAACTCTCATCATCCTGCTCGCAACGGCAGGGGTCTGTCACCATACACTGGTTTAGGCGCTGCGAAGAAGAAAAAAAAAAAAAAAAAAAGCGAAAAGGAGCGTGAAAAAGTGTAATTCGCTACCTGCATGCCGTTTTTTTTTGTTTTGTATCTGATTGGGTCTGTTTGTTGGAAGCTTATTGGTGAAAGTCATGCGACCAGGTAGGGCCCAGTGGGTAACAGGGCGCCTTGTTCAGACCTCTGCCTCTTTATTTGTTACTTTTTTTTTTTTGTTTTCAATTTTACCGTGCTGGAGCGTGGCGGGGCAGTTTCTTTTTCCATTTCGCTCGCCCCCGCTGCTCTCCACGAGGGGACTGCGGCGGTTGCGGGCCCGAGGGCTGCCGCTTTGCGACTCCACCACGGTCCCTGCTGTTGCAGATGGCCGTACGAACAAATTCTTCGGCTGGTGTATAGGCGTGTGGGGCCCCTCTCCGGAGCGGTATGTTTGCTGAGCGCATTGGTCCCAACAGTTTTTCCTTTTTTTTTTTCTCATCTTTTCTTCTAGGCATAGCGGAAAGGCCTCATCCAGGCTCACATTCTCTTCTTTTTGCTCCTCGGCACTTCCTTGCGGCATGGATCGGCAGACGCGGGGGTGGACGAGAGAACGGCGGGGGCGCCAGCCGTCCCCAGGCACTGCCGCGACACGGCTGATGGCGCGCGGTCTCGGCGACGGCTTTGCGGTTGGCAGCGTTGTTTTTGCACCAAGGCGGCGGCGCGCGGGGGCGCTCCATTACGCGCTGGCGGAGGTCACCGGTATTCAGGCCTGCGCCGGCACAGCAACGGTGGCCTTCGTGAACGCTGAGCCTGGTGTGGACGAC